TTCAATATGAAAACTGAAAATAGCTGATACTTGACGTAATGACTACGTTCCTTTTGACACTTACAGCATGACGGTCAGAAAAAATATGACTTCTGGAAGGACATGGTGGCTGCTATCCAGCACAATTATAAAATATCAGCTTTTAAAGGTAAGTGGGTTCACTGCAAACTTACTATACTAGCTGAAAATATTACACGTGCTAGCCAGAGCAAATGTACTTGTACATCTGCAAGTACACTGTAGGTTACTCAACACAGCTTTTACTTTTCAAGCTTACAAATAGTTGTACAGTAGACACATTTATCCTGAAATAGAACATCTTTTTCATTACTATTTCTATTTAGTTTAGCTGGAACTGTTTTGCTATTTTTAACAACACTTGTGATGTGCTACTTCACTGAATTTAGAGGAAAAATGGTTTCTTCCCATGATTGGTATGGTAATGTGGACACCCTTGAACTGTATTTTGATTCTATTCCTTGTGGTGTTGTACTCCTAAATAAAATCAGAAATGATTGGACAAAAAAATTAAAGTAGTAACTAATATTTGATAATTTTCTTTAGCACTAGTTTTGATTAGAATTCCTCATGTAGTACTGACACAATGGTGAGGAGATTGTTTTCCTATTTTTGAAACCTTTTTAAAATCTGTTATTTTGTTATAAATTTACTAGAAATTGCAGAGGAATTTTTTAATAGTAGCCTTCCTCCACCCAAAGCCAACCTTATAATACTGTAATATAAGTTGGAGTTGGAAAACATCTTGGATAGCCTTCCACTAGAAATACTTTTCCTCCTTCACAGACTTAATTTCCAAGTTTCTATTAGGCATATAAAATAATAAGTTCAGAATAAAGCTTAATCATCTTGCGTGTGCTCACAATTAATTGAAATTATTTTTAACTGCGGGGGGGGTGTAAAAAGATTATATGCAGATCAGTTCAGAATTATGTATAATTTTGCTGGTAGTATTTTCTGATAGAATTACCTCTGTTAATGCAACATTCATTAGGCACAGGTGTAGTCTGGACCTTCTTAAAACTTACCTTTTGTTCACCAGAGCTGTACTACTTTCTGTATTCCTTTCAAAGAAAATTGTCTCAGAGAGGTTCCAAACAAAAGGGAAGTTGATATCAGGATGCATATTGCAAAAGACAGCGAGATATTCGTAAAATGTTTTTGTTGTTGCTACTGTGTTTCCATTGGAGCTTAGAGTGTGATTGGTAGTTAAGAATTCCTCTAGGAACTCATTCATACATGAAATAAATATGTCCTTTGTTTTCTGCTGATATTAAACCAATCCTAATCAACTGTAACTATTTTTTTAGCATTTTTGTTAATTCTTTTTTCAAATCGCGAAAGCTCTTTGTTTTAAAAGGTGTGGATCATGCAGTGTTTGGCAAAAAGAATAATTTTAAAAAGTGTTCTTTGGAAATTAATTAGATCAAACAGAAGTTGAAGTCTGATCTTTGAAATCAGAAGTAATAGCTTCATTTTATTTCTATGAGTGTCTGCTTGTGTGTACATGTGTACATTTATGCATATACCTACCTATCTGGTACCTATTTGTGTATGTAAGCATGGAATCTGCATACAAACATGTGTGATATGACTTAATCCTTTCTAACTGCTATCAGAATTGGTACGTAATTTAATACACCTGAATCTCTTATAAAAGTCATGAGGCGCATGCACAGCAGTGTTAAATGTAAGAAAACGTAGTAACTGATAGGCATGAGTTATTTTGGATAAAGCTCTGGAAAATCAGAAGTAAAACAATGCAGATTGTATACACTACTTAAATATTTTAATATATGAAAGTACTATGCTCTGTCATGCATCACCTTGAAAGGCTTCATAGTGGTCTTATTTTCCTTTTAATAATGTGGTCCAGTGGATAAAGCACTGAACAGGGAGTCGGAAGAACCAGAGAATTTCCTCCTGTATCACTTACCTGTGATATTCCCGTGGTGTATCTCTTTTTGCTTCAGGTCCCTCTGTGAAATGAGAATAACGGTACTAATCTTCTGTCACAAGTTTGTGCCAAAGAGATTTTTTTTTTTTTTTCCTCAGCTGCAAGCTTAACATAGCTTCCTGAGGAAACTCCTAAACCTGGCTCCAGCCCAACGTCTACATACCAGGAAGCCCCACTCTCTTTCTTAGCCCAGAGCCTGGCTTCAAAACCACAGCCTCTTGACTTAACTGCATGCCCTTGGTGCCTTGTAGAGGGTTTAACCCTTCAGCGAAAAGCAGTGCTCATTAACAGTTAGTCAAGGTAAAATTTCTAAAGCAAACTTATTAAGTGGTCAGTTGAGGAGACGCAAAGTTCCCCAGTTGAAATGCCGTCTTAGTAGTGCCATTGTCAGTGACGGAGCAGAACGACTGACCGCTTTATTTTTTGAAATCCGTATTTGCAAGTCACTTTGGTTTGTTGTCAGTATGCCCTTGTTTCTCTATGCCCCTTTTTCACACGATTTCTTTGATCATAATCAGGTGTCTGGTGGATTTTGCTTTTCATTGTCTTAGCTATAGTAATTGCCTTAGATAATTGCCCTATGATATTTTTTTTGGATGGCTTTTTCAGATAGACATGATTGTCCTGGCTTAGCTTAATGAAGGGTATTGACCCACTCTTTTACTTGTAAAGAAGTGAAGAACTGAGGCTTGCAGAGGGAGAGTAAGAGGGTTCCAAAATAGTCTTGTGTTATTGAGATCTTCCTTTCTGAAGAATAACTCAAAAATTGGGGGGAATTTATTAAACAATACTATCGGAAAAGCATTATGTCAGATAGCAATGAACACAGATATTCTTATTTTCAAAATGGTCATTTCTTGCCTAATAATACCTGCAAGAATGCCCGCTGCAATTGATACCCAAGTTGAACATTAAATTACTTGAGTAATCCTTTTTGTAAATCTTTAACCTATTACTGCAATATTTTGCAGCTTTAAGGTGATTAACATTAGTTTGTATGTGTTTCACTTGGTTTATATTATATATAAACTAGTAAAGAGCAATTTTAAAATAAATGGCATGTGGCAATGTATTTTACACTGTAGAAATATGTGGACAAAGGTCCACAACACATTATAGAAATAAAGTTTGATCTTTAGAGGGGTTAATAAGTGCTTAAAGTACTGTATAACTATTTCCACATGAAAAGTTTCAAATTTCATTATTTTTGGACAGAAAAATCAATAGTTCTTGTAGGAGGAAGTTGCCTGATATAACTTCTTTAAGCAGAATTTTGTAAAATGTCTTCTCTTAAAGGCTGCTTTCTCTCTGTCTTCCATGATTGTCTTCCCTGTCATTTCCCTGACACTTCTGAAAACTGTAGCATCTGTGGTTATATAGTGAAGATGATATATTTGTAATATTTTCAATCAGCTCATAAGCTTATTTTTCATTTTGGAAGTAAAAAGATCATGGCTAACATGGCAGCAGAGACTTCATAAATTGCCCATGAAAAGGCTTGATGGGATCTGCTCTCAGGTTTCAAGGATGCATCTGAGAAATTTGGCACTGACCATCTTTTACAAAAAGGAAGATTATTAGAGAAAGAAAGTGCCAGACTTAAAACCTGTTTTTTAGTAATTTGCATATTGTCTTTTATGTGATTGATCAGTATTTTGAAGTGACATGCTGATGTATGGGAAGTGTTACTGTGGGCAGGAAAACTTTGGATCTTTCTAAACTACTCCATTCTCTCCCCAAAAACGCGTGCACGCACACACAGAGGTTTTTGATTGCAAGTTATGTTATTACCCTGTTGTCTTCGCAGAAGATAGTGGATCTAGATGTCTGTGATATGTGCGTTATATCCTTTATATACAACTTCAAATACAACAAACAAAAAGCAAAGATGCTTTTCTGGCCAAAAGATTTTCTTCCAAAAATTTTGCAAAACATTAGAAATTCCTAATGTTGAGATAGTCCAGTGATGAGAGATCATTATTTGTCTTAATTGTGAAAATGGCAACAAAGATAGAAGCAAACAAATTTGTTGCACTTCTCTGCTGGGCTTTCCAGCTAAATACAGAAGGGATTCTTTGGGTGCTTCATGTGTCTGAACACTTAAGAACTACTGAAATTTGTCTCAGAAATCTTTTTGAAGCCTTTGGAAGTGAGTTTTGTACTATTACAGGCTCTTATGTTTTCATTTTAATCTCATATTGAATTTTCTTTCCTCTAATGCCCATGATCCAGAAAAGATGTGGTTTCTGGAAGAGCTTTATCTTTAGGTAGGTTGCTGATCTTCATGTGGAGAAAATATTAAAAAACAAATTTAAAAATCTTACAGACCTTCTCAAGGTTCCCTCTAAACTGAGAATTCAAAGCTAAAATCAAGGTAGAAGTTGTGCTTGTGCCACAATTTGGTGTGTAATCTCTAGCTTTTCAGTGTTAAGAGATGCTTTCTTAATGGCTTAATGTCTGAACAGTTATGAAAAGCCTTCAAAAAGGTGGGCCTGAGGTACTAAGCTGTAGACTTATTTCAAGTCCTATGTGTTCATTCGAGGAACAAAGACATTAAAGGACAAAACCTGATTTTAAAGTGGATGGACAATAAGAATTGGTGAACCATGCTTTTAAGAATACTGTCTAGGCCTACTTTCTTGTGGAGAGACTCGTTAATTGGAATCACAGGACAGTAATGTACTGCTGAGCACCAAGCATCTGCAACAACTTTAAACACGTGCTTTGGCATACATTTCGGATGTAAAGCAATTAACCAGAAACTTTATGACTACTGAGCAGTATTTTCCAGCTCCACTACCCAGTCCCTCTATTTGTTTCTGAAACGAAAGTGCCAGATAGGTTGAATTGGTATTGGCAGCAGCACATGCTATGTTTAAATACTGGAAAGTGCTGTTGAACTGATGTGAGTGACTGCATAGGAAAACATTTTTAGTGAAAAAAAGAGATAATTCTAAGGAGATCCGTAATTAGTATTTGGCCTAAAACAGGAAGGTAGAATAGTGGGAATAGACAATTCTGACTCAAGTGTCTTGAGTTTTATTTTGGCTTGAAAGAAGAGTATCACGGGATTGCTACTTATTAATTGTGTTACTGTCCACTGTATTATTTCCATACATTTGTGTGTGATGTTTATAATAGTAGTACCGATTTGCTTGCCTAGGTCTACTTGG